TATAATATTATTAAACACAATATTACAGATTCATAATAAACAACAAAAGTGAAATGAAATGCAAATAACGTTATCCTAAAAACGTACCTATATGTGCTTATTTGTTTGCATTAAAAACCCTACTAATTTCATAATTCTCGCATAACAGAGTGGTTAGTAAATTATGCTACAAATAAAAATAGAATTTATTGAAAAAAAATTTGAATTCCCTATTTATTTTTAAGTCATTAAGTTAAGCAACAAAAGAAAAATTAAAATAACGTTTAAAAATTTGAAAAGGTCAAACGAAAAAAATCAAATAAAGTTAAACCTTAATATTGTATATCATTTAATAAATACCCACAAACGTAAAAACGATATTTTTTCAATTTAAGCTCTGTTTAGTTAGTACAGATTAAAGATGTCATAAGAATGACTATAATGACGAGTAAAGCAACTATATAACTTTCACAATATTGTGTGTTATTTTTTCGGTGTGTGTCCCTTGTCTCATTTTGGAACAGAATTTATTTGTAGGTAGTTCAATATTTCAATCTTCAATTTCGAAGATGGTTTACGGCATAATTTGTGTTTCTATTTACTTAAAGCCGAAAGTACAATAACAATTCGTCGTGTAGGTAAGTGTTTGAACTTGGAAGTTGTAGTGATTTCTGGGTTCATTCGCTGCCCCTCCCCCCTAATAATTTGGTGGTAGGTTTGTGTGATACATCTGATACATTTATAACGTCAAAATAATTAAGTGGACTTGATTAAGCTCACTAGGCCTTCGACTTGTGTTGACTATCTTCTAAATCATGCTAGGTGCTCTACTCGCATTTAAAAGGGTCCTGGCTCGACGGCCAATAATAAAATTCTATATTATTTCTAGTTCCTGCTGAATGGCATTATTATGCGAATAATCGGTAAACACGTGCTTTTTCCTCCTTTGCCCTCGATTAGATTATTTCCGACTCGCACGTACATCATCAATACTGACCATTAATACATGAATCATACAATATGTATAGTTTATTACCCATACTATATGTACTAAAATTATGAAATAACTACCCTAGGTCTTGGACAAGGCCGTATCTGGAGGGGGGGGGGTAAATAAGTTAATAGTAAAATAACTATATATTAATAAATTAAAAATTAAAATAAAAAACATTGTACCTAATACTAAGTGGACTAAACTGACATAATACTCGGTGGGTTGAAAACCACAACGGAATTCAAAGATTATAATACATTTTTATAGCATACCCCCCCCCCCCAAATTAATTTCTAATTACGGCCTTGGTCTTGGAGTACTAAGTGGAGAATAGGTACAAAGAAATTCACTAAACTCACAAGAAATATTTGGTTTTTTTAAATAAAAATTGTAATTGTATTGTAAATTTCATCAAAATTTGAACTTAAAATTAAAACGTTGTCTTCAATATTTTTTGATTGCTATGAGAACAAGATATTAAGAACCTTGCAGTAAAAACCTTTGCATTAAAATTATATTAATTCTATTTAAAATCGAATTTACATGAATTTCGAGCTATACAATAATTTACTAATGTTCGTAATTCCAATGAAATTTTCAAAACATTTAGACTAATTTTAAGCTATTTAAAGGCATTTCTAATTTCTTTTTTAGTTTTTTTTTTAAGGTGTATATAAATTGATAGGCTTCATCAAAAAGGTTGAAATTTAATACAATAAAAATATAAAAAGTACACCTGCACAATTTTTTTTATATAAGCATTTAAAAAGTACAAATTTCAATAAAATTTGTTAAGATTAAGAAAATGTTTAAACATTTTGAATTAAAATTATAAACATCTTGATTTATACCAATGTAATTAACAGCTAAATTGATTTGTGATCTTGAAAATTAGTAATTTATTTTCCTTTAAGTTACCCTAGTTACATTTTTTTATTTATAACTCAGTTATGTGTAAAAATTAGTGTAAGCTTACAGATCAGTTCAAGGGTTCAATATAAAGAAAATGATGAATTAATCAAAATTATATATTAGGTACAATAATAACATTTTTTATCATATCAATACAAGTTAATTACATAGGTTCAGGCATTTCTATATCTCTACACGTGGAGCTTTCTAATTCACGGCGAATATCCGGTGTAATAGTATGATGTGATTTTGTTCTAAGTAACTTTAACAATGCTTTTTTCTGTTCAGAACTTATATCCGTCTTATAACGTTGAACAAATGTTAAAAATGACTGATGCCACAAAACTGGTAATTCTCTGCTATCATGCTCAAATCTAATAAATAAAATAGTTATTAAATAATTCATAACATTTTAAAATTACTATTCACATTATCATACCCGAGAAAATGGAAAACAACTGCATCGACAACCCTATATGGAAGGGCATATTTTTTATCAAAAAGTATTCTGAGAAATATTGATGTAGCTCCATTATATTCCATCTCAGCTAATTTCAATATAGCTGCTGCTGAATGTAACATTGGTATAGAATTTTTGCCTATAACTGATCCAATGATAATCGCTTCTCGTAAAGTACAAGTACCACTCTAATTGAAAAAATATAAAATTATTAATAAAATAATAAGTTTAAAGTGTTACCATTAAATACCTACTTCACACAAGGGAATAAGTATTCCTTTCATGAAAGCTCCAGGTTTGAACAAAGCTTTTTTCAATGCTTGATAAAGATGAAAATTCAATTTTTTATACTCATCTATATCATCTCTAACTCTAGGTAGCAAAACAAGATTGTAGAATCGTTGAGCCATATTTTCTTTTAAATTAGAGGCGAATATACGAATACCCTGATACATTGCTGCAGCACTCCATGTAGAAGGCTCTAAATCAAAAACATGAATAATTAATAAATGTCTCAAAGTTGACAAGCTCAAATGTAACTAACCAGTTATGTACAAAATTTGCTCCCAATTTCGCAATTTTGGAATCAATTTGAATGCTTTAGGCAATTTGCCACTCCGATACATGGTTAGCACTTGTTTAACACCTTTATACATCTGTATTACACGCGGATCTACATCTTGCAATTGAACACCTGACAATGATATTCAATAATACAAAAATATTAATTATTATAACCTATTTTTAATCAGAAAATAATGTGATCCAAACTAATATTCAGTTCAATAGTATACAATTTCAAGAAAACACTAAGGTATATGATTATATCCATTTTTTTTATTTTTTTTTAACTAAGATGATTTAAAAAGTGTTTTAAACATACTTTCAGCATCTGTAAATTGAGTTTGCATTTCAGTTTGTTTTTCAGTAATTTTTTCCATGATCATATCAGCTAAAGTTAATCGAGCTTCAGGTTTCTTAGACATAAACATTTCTAAAGCTTTTTCATCATCTGCATTGATTTCCTTTGAAAAAAGACAGTTAACATAAAATATATGAGAATATTACTTTTACTTTCATTATATTTACCAGTTGTTCATAATAATCTTCAGCTTCTCCTTCGCCAAACATGGGTTTTTCTTCTTCATCTTCTTCTGAATCAGAGCCCGACCCTAATGATGTGAGTAGATTCTTGTTTGTTCCCTCTAAGATAACAGAATAAAACATGTATATTTAAAGTAAACACTAAACCCATGGAGTTACATATCTTTTATATTTTCAACTACTGTCATTTAACTTACCAATTTCAGTTATTTCTTGCTTTTGTTCTCTTACTTGATCCAATATACGTCTGGACAATTGTGAACCAATAACCTGAGTTATAAAATTATCCAATAATAAATTAAAATTTATACATTTAAACAGCTATACAGTGTACATCTTTAGTCATTACCTCTTCGCTTTCATCCTGTCGTAACCGTATCTTTGGTTCTTTCTTTTTTGATACTACCCGATCACCAACTATCTGATCGGCCAAGTTAGGATATGGCTTGTCTACTCCGCTCCTCATATTCTTTTTTTTTGTCTTTCCCATTTTGTTTAAATTTTAATATAATTAAGAATAAAAAAAAACAATTCTCAAAATGTCACGTGTGAAAAATTAAGATAGGTACTGAACTTGTATCTTTTATCAATTATAAATTATAATAATAACAATTAAAATTGAACCAGACTGTTGTAAATAAAACGTTGATACCCGGGTGCATGTGAGTGATAAGAGAAAATGATAAGAGTGGTAAATGGCGGTTACCCTGTAACCAACCTGAGGTGGTGTCACGATTTAAGATATAATTCATTTTTAAATTTGATCTACGTTTCAGTGTTAAATTAAACTTATAATTGTAAATTATTCATTTGACGAATATTTTATATCAAAAAATATTACAATAAAATGTGAGTAATATACAGTGACGCCCTCCGCCTACAGGCTCAGGTTGCAAAACTCGAGGTGATCCAGACCTCTCGTAAGTCGTAAGGTTAGGTAAACTAGAATGATGTGAGAATGCGTAAAAACAGCAATATATAGATCCTAATTAGGTCATAACTTCGAAACTAAGTCCCACCGCAGAATTCAGAGTTCACCATCACCATCGTTTTTAGTATAAATCTAAAAAAAATTGGCAAAAAAAGGGTGTCCAGTAAAGTAACAAAATACCAAAAGAAGAATTAAGATATAAATTTATTATAACATTATAACGATTAATGGACTATGGAATCTATATCATGATCACGGTTAGACCGATGATGTTACCGTTTCAAATCTCTCAATTTTCGAAGATTATCTTATAAGGCTGAAGTTATCACTATAATAATCTCAAAAAGGGATGATTAATCGACTCTTCGGATGAATACTCTTTAAATTTAAACACAAATATAACAATATATTAAGCATACGGTTTTTTTTTTAAATTTATAAATTCTTTTAATAATAGTTAGTAAAAAGTTTTCAAAAATATGCTTTTATATTATCGAACGATAAAATTAAATGAAGTTCAATAACTTATCAAATTGTTTACAATATTTATTATTTGGTCACACTGTTTTTGTGTGCAATAATGCTTTTTTTTATAGGGGTCGTCCATATTGTTTTTGTTGTGAAAAAATCACTAAAAATTCTTGTTATTAATGTTATTATCGCATATTTGCGTATTTGTTTGTAATTTTTGGTGATTTCTTTCAATTTAACATTTTAACGTACGTTAAGACGTCTCATGTAGCGTATAATGCAGACTCTGCTGGATGATTGTATTCGACGACGTACGACAAGATCGTCAAAACTCCATCGTATGTAATCTCGGTAAGTAAAAAATTTAAGTCCTAACTCCAAAGCATCTGAGCACCAACACTACATTTACTGAAAGAATATTCTAATCAATTTGTATCAAATAATTTTCCGAAGATCACTTATAAGTTCCTGCAACTATGAAACATAGTATTGTACTATGGTTTTATAGATTCATTGTGTAAGTTCATCCATTTGAAGTTAACAACCAAATCTAGCATGCATCTTATAGTACCTATTATCAAAAAACATTCTTCCTTGAAATCTATATACTTCCCATTAATATCTATCAACAAAATACTATAATATTACAACAATAATATTGTTTGATTTGATTATTCAAAGTTCATACTTCATGTAGGATTAAAATGTTACATATTAGGATTAGGTACCTACAATGAGTAATACAGCTTATCTGCTTATATTATCAATTTTTTAATATATAACTTAAATTTCCCTCATGTATCTAAAGTCTCATGATTTAGTATGAATGAACATGTAATTTCTTTTTGGATTTTTTCGTAACTTGGGACTAAATTCTTTAAATAACAATCCTACACCCAGAACACCCCAAAATATTATTTTTAATAATTAAATATTATAATTACAGTTATTGATTTAATCTATAAATATTGTTTGGTTATTGAGTGTCAATTAATAACTATTTCGTAAGGCTGCAAATGTATCAATTTTATAATAGAAAGTAACGACCATTTTAAGTACACAAATTGATATATTGTACAGTTACATAATGTGTAATAGTTTACAGTTATATAGTACATTTATTGAGACTTATTATTAATTATTTTCAACAATACATCAAAAACAATTTAAATAGCAATTTATCTACAGTCTTAGTACTTTAAGCTTTATTAAACTAGGTATATTATCTTTATTTCTATGAGTCTATTTGCAGAATACTATACCCATAAAAGAAATGTAATCTTGTTCTAAAACAACAGAAAACAAAAAATGACAAAGGTCTATTTAAACACAATTCAAAGAGCAAATAAATACAAAACAATAATAACCATTATCAATTAAGTGAAACTGGATTATTGTGGTTTATTGAGATTCAGTTAATTTCATATTACCTAATCTTTACCTTTAAGTAATTACTTTTTTAATCTAATGAAGATTTGTAACTGATAAAGAATTTGACATTTTAAAAAGAACAAATTGAGTAATTAGAAGGATTAAGTTTTATGCAACTGGATATAGGTAACCTGGTAACCTAGGTAAACTAAGAATGTCAATCTTACAAAAAGTCTTATTAAAAATTAATATCATTATATAATTTTAAAATTTAAACATATTTATAACATAATAATAATGGCTTAATATATTTTAGTATTTCCATTCATATTGACTAAAAAGGGTGAATGGTACATGTTCAAAATCTAATTTTATACTGGGTAGTTTGTTTGGAATACATGTTTCAAAATCAAATATTTATTATGTACTTATATTTTGTTTCTAAATAAACTAAAAATAAGTTTATTGTCAAGAACAGACCTATTTAAACATTTTTTATATGAATTTATTAATTAAGAGGATGTCAGCACACTGTTTTCTCTCTCTCTCTGACCCATGTGCTACAGAGACAAAACACATTCAAGCCGTATCATATCTTTTTTGCTTTTAAGTAATCTTGCGAAAAAAATCACCCATTACTAAAACGATAGATAATAATAGTTTTGAAGGTATGATTTATCAATAAGTCTAAATATTATCTCAAAACACTTTGAATCATTTAAATTTTCAAAATTTTTTTTTTTTTTGAAAATCTAATAGGTACAAAGTCAAATTTTAATAAAATAGAACACCGATAAATCATACTCTCAAAAATATTATTCTCTTCAGTTTTTGATGATTTTACATTAAAATTATTCAAAAATTATAAAAACGATTTTTGGGGAAAGCGTTTTATCTATGTAGCATTGTTGCAAGTGGGTCTGAAAGAAAAAAAAATATTATTCTAGCATTCTCTCAACAGAAATTGTCTGTACTTATTAGCTATAGCGTGTTTTTATTTATGTTATTATTTCTTATGTATGTTACTTATTATTGTTTGATAATAATCTGAAAGTGAGTTTTTAAAAAAATAATAATTCGGTCAAATAATTTAAATTTAGTGTATCAAGTCAGGTTAATGAACTCTTTTGTTTATGGCTAAGTGTAAATTTATTCTGGCTTATTTAAGTATTCAAAAAACCCATGAGATTATCAATGCGAATTTGGTAGTTCAGTTTTTATTTTTACAGTAAATGTAATGAAAGTAAACATCATATTAAATTAATACCTACTTACCTTAGAGTAAAACCTTTTTCTACTGAAGAAAGATTTTGTTTAGTTTGTTAATACTTATTTTCGATTAAGAAGGTAAAATTATTCTGTTTATTGGAAAATAAATCTAGCTTTTGTATACTTCCCTAAGAGAATCGGAGGTATGAAAAATTAGTCTACATCAACTTTAATTTCTAGATTTTTATATTCAACTATTATAGATCAATACATATTATAATCAATTCACAATATAATACAACAGTTATTATAAAATAAATCACAGTATTTTGTTTATTCACATAATAATCATTAATAATGAGAATACAAATTGGACTATATACATATAAACAGTTTATCATTTCACATTTTCTCAGCTATAGCAAATAGTCTTGTTAAATTGGATTTGAAGACACCTGACCCCATCCAGATTATGTAAAACCAGCTTTAAAATATTTGCAAATAAGTTTTGGATATGTTTAACCCCGAGTAAAACTATTTTATCAATGATTTAATCATAAAAAATAACTCACTATAAATAGCCATCTTCATAATTTTTTTTGATATGTAGACTCGGATGTCCTGATAAGTGATACTGCTGTATATATATGTAGTCTATGTAGTATGCAAATATTATTATTGTTCAAATGTATGTTGATTAAAAATTATATGTGTATTTAACTTTTTAATTATATGTTTTCAGGCTATGGATATTACAATTGTTAAGTGAAAATAAGTTGTAAAACAATAACTACTAAAATTGGAGAAAACAATGGAACAAAAGATTTGGATTTGGATATTATGTAGTGTTTTATTACTTGCAACAACTTGTAATTGTGCTAGCCGCAAAAAATCTGAAGAAGTCAAATGCCATTATTACAATCAAACTACTTGTGCCAATTCTGAAAATGAGGAAGGTTGTACTAGTATTCAAAATTGTAAAGCTGGGGATAATGACAAACCTTCATATTGTTATGCTGTATGGACAAATAATACTAAGACGAATAAATTAGAAATTAAGCTTAAGGTAATCTATCCTAATTTGTATAGAATAATAATAATTGTGTTAAATGTTATCATGATTTTATTTTAAAAACAATTTATAGGGTTGTTTCTTAAACAATGTTGAATGCCAAGGTCAAAAACAATGTAAAGAAAAAAAAGGAGAAATTGAACCTAATGGCCTATTGTTTTGTTGTTGTGAAGGAGATTATTGTAATTCAGAAATTATATGGGACCCTATCCCGACAACTCCTCGAATAGAGACAACATGTAAGTTATATACAAAATATCATTTATGCAAACAATTTAATAATAAATACATTTTTCTATCATAGCTGCAAAACCATTACGTGATGATAATGAATTAATACATACAATAGTGTTTTCTACCATACCTTTGGTAGCTGTAGCAAGTATGTTTCTATTTGTCTATTGGGTTTACAAGCGAAGAAAAATACCTCAATTTTCTCATGTAAGTAAATTAAATTCTTTTTCTTTTTTAGTAACTACTATTTGGTAAAATATTTTTTAACTCTTATACTTTGATAATTTAATAATTTTAGTTTTAATTATTATCATGTTTATTGTGTATCAAAATGTTTCATACACATACCCCGGTATTGATAAAATTTTTATATTTTTACGTGTTATCGTAGGCCTAAAAATAGTAAATTTGAGATACTTACTACACATGCATTTACAGTAATATACGCTGAATAACACTGACTCTAAAAAAGGATTAAAACCTTAATCTGGTCGAAATAATACTAATAGATAACAAATTTAAAATTGACGCCTTAAGAAGATGCTATACACGAATATGTTGTCTCCGCCTTACACGAGAGTAACATATCAAATTTTACGTTCAGCAGATCACGTTTAGCTCAGTTACCTTAAAAATTAGAGTGAATTGACCTCTTATTAAAATTAAAGGTAAAATTATAACGGAGGGCCCCTTATGGGCTTTTTATCATATTTTAATTTTAAAGAGAATTATGAATATTTTAAGTTCTACAAACAATTTTCAATTTTTAAATACTCATAACTCTCTTTAAAATTAAAATATGATAAGAAGCCCTCCGTAATAATTTTACCTTTAATCTTAATAAGAGGTCAATTCACTCTAATTTTTAAACTAACTGAGCTGAACGTAAAATTTGATATGTTACTCTAAACAAAATGACACCTTGAGGTGTAATCAGCAATGATCACGTTAAAAATAACTATACTTTAAAATTGTATTCAATTTGATCAAATTTAAAGGTTGAAAAATATTGTACTAGTATCTTTCATCTGTTTTCATTAATTTAATTTTGTGGTAAAAACATGCCTTAATATTTGTATTGTATTTTAGATTACAAAACAAAAAAAAAAATTTAATCCACACACTTAATAAGAATTTATAATTAGGTCCATAGTGTGTATGAATAACCAATTTGACACAACTTTATATTTTCAGTATATTTCTGTTCTCGTTTATAAATTAAAACCCAAAATCAAGGAAACTTTGTCGTTTACCAAACATTTTCTTGAATTTCAGTATCACCAAACACCTTAGTTAAAATTATTATTTTTAATAAATCTATGATCTACTTAAAGCAATTAGAATTAATTTGCTAAGCAATTAGAATTAATTTGCTTTAACTAAATAATTCAAATTAAAAAAGAAAAATTCTTTAATATCCTTGTATTAATTATTCAATAATCAATTCATCGCCTTTTGTGTAGTTTTCCTATTCTACAATTCATGCGTAATAAAAATAATATACTGTGATTTACAATTGGTTTTTTTTTTTTTTAACATTTCTTACTTTGGAATTTAAATCTTTAGTGGGTAAGTTAAGCTAATAATGTTCATCACACAAACTGTTTAATTTAATTTTGTTTAATTTGTATGACAAATTATTTTCTGTGTATTTAGGTTCCGTCGTCTGATAGCTCCCACTTGGGAAATTGTTCACCTATTCTTAGCAATCGTCCAATACAACTAGTTGAAGTGAAGGCAAGGGGTCGCTATGGTGCTGTTTGGAAAGCTCTTCATAAGAAAGATACAGTAGCTGTTAAAATATTCCCTCCTCAGGTAACAATTTCATATAATTACTTTTTTTTTTATCTAGCTAATATCATTATTTTTATTTAAGGATAAAAACTCATGGTTGGTTGAACAAGACATATATCAATTACCACACATGCAACATGACAATATGCTATCCTTTATTGGGGCTGAAAAACATGCTAGTGTTATTGAAGGCGCCAAAAATGAATATTGGCTGATTACTGCTTACCATGATTATGGATCATTATGTGACTACTTAAAATCGAATATATTAACTTGGGATCAGCTCTGTCATATTGCCCAATCTATGACAAGGTAAAATATTTATTAGTTTGTTTAACATCTCCAGATTTTTTAATCACTCTCTTGTTTCAGTGGTTTGATGCATTTACATGAAGAGATCCCATCAGAACGTTCAGATCAGTATAAGCCAGCCATTGCACATAGAGATTTTAAAAGCAACAATGTTTTACTTAAACATGATTTAACTGCATGTATCGCTGATTTTGGTCTCGCCCTAGTTTTTCAACCCGGCAAGTCATGTGGTGATATACATGGGCAGGTAAAACCCATTATTACCTCCAACGATAAGGGGTAAAATTAATTTTCGTTAATCATTCAGGTTGGCACAAGAAGATACATGGCACCAGAAGTACTAGAAGGGGCTATCAATTTTTCAAGGGACGCATTTTTAAGAATAGACATGTATGCATGTGGATTAGTACTATGGGAATTGGCAACTAGATGTACAGCACAACAAGGTGCTATACCAGATTATAGATTACCTTTTGAAGAAGAGGTTGGACAACATCCATCATTGGAAGACATGCAAGAATGTGTAGTACATAAAAAACTAAGACCGGCTTTCAAAGATAGCTGGAAATCACATCCAGTAAGAAGTTATTAAAAATTATCTTAAAATGTTACATCTATTATTATATGGTACTGTTAAAATTATTTTTAGGGTTTGATAGCTCTATGTGATACAATGGAGGAATGTTGGGATCACGATGCTGAAGCTAGGTTGTCAGCATCATGTGTAATGGAACGCATTACATGGCAATGTCGTCAATATAATGGGACTGCAGTAACATCGTTAGCACAATAAAATATTTTATTTATATAATAGAATAATATACATCAGCAACCTAGCTTCTACAGAAGAAGACATTGGTGTTTCCTTTTATGTAAGTTAACTATCTAAGTTACTTTGTATACTCCTTAAGTAATTTGATTGTTGATGTACATAAGTAGTAAGTGAATACGTCCAAACCCACCCACCTCTTCCCACATCCTAATGTTTTCTTTTTAACCTAATCAATATAGATACAATCTATAACCCTCACATAAACAATATTTGCTATAACTATAGCAAAATAATCTCATAGTTATGGTAATGTATAATCATATACAAAACATTATGGGAGGGGGAATTTTCCAAAAGAACGATCACTTACTACTTAAATATATTTAGGTGTATATCAGTTTTTTTCATTAATTGTTGTAAACAATCCAGAAAACACTAAAAGAGGATCTGGAATGGAATAATATTGTATTCTGCATTTTGGAAAAAATCAATTTTGTTGAAATTTAGTTTTATTGATTTATACAATATTATTTAAATATTAAATACATTTTGATTAATAAAATTCAATCATCAGTTATTTAATATATTTGTCGTACATTGTTAGTCTGTTTAAAAACAGAGTACCATAATTATACTGTTTTAGTTTTCAATATTTTTGTCATGAATTTTCTTATTTGTATCACATATGATGACAAAATATATAACTGAAATTGATTTTCTCTATTTGTATGTGTATCTTAAATTAATACCATTATAGTTAATAATTATTATATTCTTCTACCTCAAGTTTTATCCACCCTTATCTTAAAAAAATGTGCCAATATTCTTAAGGTGGTATTTACTGAGTGTAATATATATATTGTACATAATATTAGTCAAAAATAAGTTTTTAAATTTATTTATTAAACAAGTTTTATAGGAATACTTGTTAATTGCAACAAATTAAAATCTAAATGTTTAACCTAAAAATAATTACTTAACAACAATATTTTCACGTCCTAATTTACTTGATGTATGGAGTACATAGTTTTCGCAAGTTTAATTTTTAGATACTGTGAATATAACTATGTTAACAGAGCGCTTAGTCTTATTGTTATAATACTTATTGTCAATGTATTAAGGGTGCCTCGAGTAATTAACAGAAATAATAAAATATTAATGTACCTGTAAACTCCTCTGTATAGTTTAAATAAGCCTAAAATATTGTTACCTATGCCACAACAGTTCCACAAACAAATTGTACAATATTTTTTATTTGAACTACTTAACTAGTTGCAATTTATATGACATGGTAAATAAAATATATTAATTAACAGAATGAAAAAAAAATCTATTTTATCGGGCACCCCATATTTTTTTGGGAAAGATGGGGGAGGGGGGGTTAATGTTTGTAGCATAAACTCAATGTGGTTTTATATAATAAATTACTAAATATTTTTTAATTTGATAACTTATATAATTCACAAATTTTATTTTTTGTTTTAAAAATACCAACAGGCTAGTGACATAAAGTTTAAATTACCATAACAATTTAATAATAAGAATACTATTTTCCTCATGTTCTGAACAGTACATTATTTAAACTTAAAAATTGTAGCTAAGTAATTATTTCACATAATTTTTATTTTCTCTCCCTTGTACTCTTTTCATTATTGTTGCCATGTAATCTTTAATCTTAATTTATTTTAATCTGTAAATGTGCTGTATTTTATTTAAAAAAAATATATATTAGGTTTAAGGTTTTAAGATTTCTATATAAGCCTAACACAAAGTTAATGACACAGGTATTGAAATAAATTATAGCTAAAATATTATTGTGTAATGTTTAGATATTATGTAAGCAGGGCCGGCCAGCTGAAGCTATGGGTGAATGGGTGATGCGAAAAATTGCCCAGGGTATCACCCACAGAGGGGCTCAGAATTCAAAAATAAAAAGATTTTTATTTTAAGATTTATTTACATTTTTACATTTTAAATCATTTTTTTAATAATTTTTTTTTTTAAATGAGTTAGGTACTAAAATATCGTAAATGATTAGTGTAACATGCATACACTTCTAGGTTATAACAATAATGATGATATTTTACACTATTATATTATCAAACTTAGTTATGCTTTTTATATACCCTATTCAGCATAAGAACAGACCAGGTGGCAAACAAAAATACTTTGTTGTTGGTCAAAAAATCCCCACTTTGGCCGCCTCCACAAATATTCTCTCCCCCCGCCCTTAACAGCTATCTGTCGCTGTATACATGGCGAAGGTGGTTTATTATTATTCTGAATAGAAGTTGATAGATACTTAAAACTTATTGGTCTTCATAGTTACATTATAGGTACCTATTAACTTAAATATTTCTAATAAAATTAATGTTAAAAATCATAATTATTTATTTTATTAATAAAGTCACTTGTGAACTAAATTGAATTATTCTTATTAGTGTATGTTCATACAAATAAAAACGTATCGTATTAGGAAATTTGATCGGCCCTGTATATGAATCTTATAAATTAATTTAATTAGCTTGTTTATATTTGAAATAACATTATTAAAATTACTTAAAATCAAAGTAGTGTAACAATTTTAGATTTTATCTGTCATTGTTGTTTAATTTTGTTGTTTTTATTTGGCTATGGTTGTATAATTGTTTTATAAATAACATCTAGGTACTAATATTGTATAAAATAGTTCCTTTATTATGAATAAATTTCCTTTTTTATTTGTATTTTATAATTTGAATTATTATATATATATTTTTTTTTTGTTCCTTACAAAATATTTTATATAAGTTAATACAACTACAAGCAAACTCCAAGACTGCTGCTTCATACACAATAGTTGTTTACATTCAAAAAATAAATCTGCACATAATTTTTTTATGTAATTAACTACATATATGATGTACATAGAAAACAGAATGAATTGTAAAGATTTTTCATTTATATTTTAAACATTGTTAAAGAGTGTTTAATTTTTTTATTTTTCAAATAATGCAGACTTTATTTTATTACAACTATTACATTTATATGACGTATAATACCGATATATTTATATATGTGTGTACCCGTGAGTGTGTGTACGTGCATTTATGTTTATGTGTTTAATATAATGTAAAGCTTATAATAATTTTTGTTCTCATTTTTTCACGGTACAGGGTGTGGATATTTTGAAGGTTTTGTTTTAATGGATGGTTTGTTGCCAATTAAATGAAAAAAACTAAATACAAATTTGTGAAAAAGGGCAAAAATATTATTTTAATCAAATAATTTTTATTTTTTAACATTTTTGTGAGTTTTACCTTTTTAATGACTCACTAACGTCCTTGTAGCATTTAAAAAGACATGCAAATTTGGATAGTTATATTCCTTAATTTGTCTAAAACAATATTTGTATACAAAATAAATGTAATGTCATATTTTCATTAAAAGCCTAAAATAATTAGTATATTTAATTCATAAATTAGTTATTAAGTTTTTAAATAGTTAAAATGAAAAAATATTTACAGATTTATTTGTATAATCAAATTGTAAATACATTTATTGTGTGTGTAATATAATTAGATTTAAATACCTAATTTGTTATTTTTTCAAATCAGATCATTGTCACTTTCTGACAAACTAGACTCACTGCTGCTGGAACCTGTACTATCTGATTCCTCATCCACTATAAATTCAAATTGAATATTTAAGTGTGTTATCTTAGAGAAGTTACAACAGTAAATTTCACTGTCTGAACACATATGCACATAATATGGTAAAAATCCAATTCATTTTGATTACATGGTTGAAATCTTAATATCGTATATATTATATCTTGTATAAATGACTGAAAAAAACAGATGGAAGTTAACACACCAAGTTTATATTGATGTTCAAAGTTTTGAGAAAGATAATTAAAAAAAAGGTTCTTAAAAATTGAATATAGCTTTGTGTCAGCACTCAGCGAACATAAATGTTGTTACTAATTATGTTTATTATAATAGATGATAGTTGCACTTTGCACATTTGTTCCTCAATTCCAACAGTGTATTTTATAACCATTCAGTGTTTTGAGCTATTGGATTTAATTCTATATGATGTGTTACTGTGTTTGATGGCAATTTACTGTTGCATGGTCCAAATATTTATAAATATTTTAACAGGTATAATGCAGTGTACTCACTCATGCTCATTTTTTTTGTAAGTAGTTCGTGAAATGTCATCATTGTCTCATTTGCTTGTTCAAAGCTCAAAACTATAAATAAATAATGTAAAATAAAATCCAAATATGTACATTCATGCAGTTTAGTATTTTACTTGCATTGCAGTAATCCAACGCAGTACTATAGTTTTTTGCCACCAATGCACTATGCATCTGTAATATAATTAAATAATGTTCTACTAGTACATTTTTTTTAATTTGATAGTGTCTTAAATCTTAATTATGATTAATATGATTACTATTACTATAACATTACTTTTATGAAGAAATCCACTGGTGCTCTTTTGGGTTCAGACATTTTTACTTTGTATACCTATTGTTTATACATACATTGTTGTGGTTTCTATAGAAACGAATGACCTCATCGTCTTGAAATTAGTTCCTCAGTCCTCTCTTTTATCTTCCTAATTTTGACTGTGTATAACCTAAATAATATTATTATTTATGTATGTACATTATACATATCTTACTAACATACATTTTAAGGTACTTAACCTAACTTAGAGAATATTGCAGGATATAATGATAAAAATTGCCAAGTTAGTTTATCAGTTGTCCTGTGCCAGTAGTGCTAATAAAATTATCATTTTATGAAAAATATTACTTCACAGTATTTTTGTCCTACCTGGCTACCTATGTATAAATGTATTACTCTGAATTCTGATATTAGAGTTTAGTTTATGTATATGAATATCAGAATATAGCTTTATGTCGCTGCCTATTTTTGTATTTTTTGAGTTGCACATGTGAAGATAACAATTTATCATACTTGTACAACACCCGCAATGCATTTACCCAAACTAAAAAAAATTGTCAAAATTCTAATTTCAGACGTTAATCAAAATTAGATAGGTACATTAAAAAGGGTAAAATGGCTATAACTTTAAATTAAAAAATTTCGCAATTTCTTACCAGCACTTGAAAAAGCATGCACAAACACTCTTTCAAAAAAAAAGGCTACCCCTTTCAGTAGTTGTATACCAAACATTATTGTGGATTTATACTCGGATTTTCCAACTAACAACGTATGAGAAAGTTTCTATTCAATTATTAAATTTTTCTGTTTGAAAATTTTTTATCGCCAATAATTAAAAAAAAACTAATATAATTCGAAATTTTATATGCCTCTAAATAGCTCACAAAATGTCAAAATTGTAAGGTGTGTTTTCCATACAAATCTAAATTATGCATTATGCATACTGTTCTTTTCTTCAGTTACACCAAAAAAACAAAATTGATATTGTCGAGAATTGGTATTAATTATTTTTCTTTTGTTTCGACACCCCACACAGCGTCAGACATTTTACCGAGTAAATAAAAAAAACTTCAACAGCCTTAAACAGTTATGAAGTTAATAGTAATAATGTAAGCTGTAAAGAAAATCAAGTTGGCTAAAAGTTTTTTCGGTTGTCAGATAGAAATATAAATCAGTCAACACAAAAATTAAAAACTAATTTTGTTTTTAACTATGAAAATATAGCAACAACTGTCGATTACTCATACTTCAACTGTCTAAAAGGCAAAAGCTAGAGTAAGTTATCAGCTGCGAGCTTTGTAAATCTAATCATACATGGTGATCATATTACAATATGATATTATAATTTATCATCCTAGTAGTCCGTGCATATTATAGCTGATACAAGTCCCAATAAATATTTTGACTACCTAATTTTGGTTTTCACAATCGGATTAGGTAGGTACTTATTAAAAGAATTAGGTAAATGAAATATGCAAAATTTTAATCCGACTAATATTACGTTAGTTTAATATCGTGATTTTGCCGATTATTTTAAACGGCATGAAAGAGAAACTATGAGGGATGGGTCTCCCCCTAATTACCCCACGCCTCCCTTGTGGAACGGCCCTGATGCGTTGTGTCAAGGTAAAAGCAACATTGAACATCCTTTTCAGTTTGTTTTTTTTTCAAAAACACGGTGGCAGTAAAAGTTTCGTGCAACTTTTCTATAGATTGATAAATCATCACAAATTTTTCTTCACCCATCTAGAGAGGCAATTTTTCACATTTCTCAGTGAAAATTCTTGTATCTGAACTTGGTTTAAATAATTGGCTATTTTATGGGTTAATCTAGCTGTTTGCTCGAAATTTTTTGAGCCTTCAACGATTTATCATTAGCATTGCTGTCACATTTAAAGACACTCGTCCCACTGGTCCGCCCAAAGGCCAGAACCAAAGATTACCTATAAAAACATAGACGCCTACCTACTTACCTATTAAAATCCTATAATTTACCTACCTATTTATCATAATTTATATCCATGTATACGTAATACTTCATAAAATCAATGCAAAAAATTATGACCTGCAGTTCTTTGACTGTCTATTATTTTACTTTCTGAATTTGTTAATATTACTTAATATTTACTATTTAGGTAAATACTTAATTTAGGATAGGTATTCGGAAAAAATGACACCACTGCAGTCTACGATATCCACCTCATCCCTCCCACCATCGAATATATACACTCGGTCCCGGGACCTACTAATATGCTTTTCATATAGGTACTTGCTTTATTATGATTTATTTGTATTCAGTTCAAAGAATCTGTTCCATTACCAGCTATGTAGACATGTTGGTAAAATATGTTTAATGTATATATATACTATATAGTATAGATGTCCAATTATACGGCCACACATTATATACCTACGTGGTAAACGATGATTCAGACTTAAATAATTTTTAGGCCAAGTACACTTTCTAAACGACTTTTTTTACCCCTACCTAAAATTGTACTTGCAGCTATATCTAACAAAATAATAGGTATTCACTCATTCGCGTTTATTATATATACCTAACTACCTACCTATAAAAAAAAATAGAAAGTGATTTTGTTTCTAGGAATTAATTCAGCTCCTCGTCACTGG